TGCAAAACTGGTTGGAAAACCATTCCAAGAGAGTAGTTATCAGTGGTTCACAGTCATGCTGGAAGGTTAACCTCGCAGGGATCATTTCTGGGTCCGGTTCTGTTCTTCATCAATGGTTTAGATAATGGCATACTGAGTACACTTATAAAGTCTGCGGACGATACCAAGCTGGAAGGGGTTGCAAGTGCTTTGGAGGATAGGATTAAAATTCAAAATGATCTGGACAAACTGGAGAAACGGTCTGAAGTAAATAGGATGAAATTCAATAAGGAAAAATGCAACGTACTCCACTTAGGAAGGAACAATCAGTTGCACACATACAAAATGGGAAATGACTGCCTAGGAAGTAGTACTGCAGAAAGGGATCTGGGGGTCACAGTGAACCACAAGCTAAATATGAGTCAACAGTGTAACGCTGTTGGAAGAAAAAGCAAACACCATTCTGGGATGTATTAGCAGGAATGTTGTAAGCAAAACACAAGAAGTAATTCTTCCACTGTACTCTACACTGATTAGACCTCAGCTGGAGTATTGTGTCCAGTTCTGGGCACCGCATTTCAGGAAAGATGTGGGCAAATTGGAAAGAGTCCAGAGAAGAGCAACAAGAATTATTAAAGGTCTAGAAAACCTGACTTATGAGGGAATATTGTTTAGTCTGGAAAAGAAAAAGAACTGAGAGGGGACATGATAACAGTTTTCAAGTATGTAAACAGTTTTCAAGTTGTTACAAGGAGGAGGAAGAAAAATTGTTTTTCTTAACCTCTGAGGATAGGACAAGAAGCAATGGGCTTAAATTGCAGCCAGGGAGATTGAGTTGGACATTAGGAAAAAATTCTTAACTGTCAGGGTGGTTAAGCACTGGTTAAGCATTGGAATAAATTGCCTAGGGAGGTTGCGGAATCCCCATCATTGGAGACTTTTAAGAACAGGTTAGAAAAACACCTGTCAGGGATGGTCTAGATAATTAGTCCTGCTACAAGTACAGGGGACTGGACTAGATGACCTGTCGAGGTCCCTTCCAGGTCTATGATTCTATGATTCCAGGCAAGCCTCTTCCTCTCGGAGGCTCCTGTACTCTCCCATCTTACTCCATAATATGGTCCCTGAAAGCAGGGCCCTGTTTCCCATCACACTTCAAACAAGACTCCAGGATCTTCAAGCCCTGCCCGAAGTGATTCCTCACAGGTTCTCCTCTGTCCACACTGGACACCACAACCTCTCACATATTTACCTCTCCTTGATTCTGACCTGTTCACTTGAATCATTTCCCAGAGACAAGCCACCCTAGGATCCTGGGTTCCTCACATGAGCTCTCCAGCCAAGCCTGCTCCTCAGGCTCAGTCCCACTTCAACTTCCTCCCAACCAAAACAGGACTGGTGTTTGCAACAGATTATCTCCTGAAAGCAGGCCAGTCTATCCAAGTCTCAGTTTATTCTGCAACAGTGAGTCAGTGCTAACTCACTTCACTCTTTCTTTTCCAGAATTAAAGTCACTGCTCACAGGGTCGGTATGTTAGGCACACTGCCAGCATATTACTGTCCACCCCTCCACACAGTTCCTTCTCTCTACTATATACCCCCCTTTGCAAATTTAGTTGTTTTAGCATTTCCCTCTGTCTCTGTGTTAGTATGTATCAACACTGATTCATGTACACAGGGATACATGTACACAGGGATACATAGAAAAATACTGTATTAGGTAACTCAAATACAGGGAAAAAGAAAAGGAGTACTTGTGGCACCTTAGAGACTAACCAATTTATTTGAACATAAGCTTTTGTGAGCTACAGCTCACTTCATCCGATGTACTCCTTTTCTTTTTGCGAATACAGACTAACACGGCTGCTACTCTGAAACCTGTCAAATACAGGGGTATAAGCAGCAGTTTAAGAACACAGCGCGATAGGAAAATAGGAGGAATGGTAGGAACTATGGTGGGACCATGTTTTGAAGTGAGAAAATTAGGGGAATAGGGGAAGCAGGACTGTGCAGGGAAATATGGAGGCAATTGGACTAGTAGTGCAAGTGTGTGGGGTCCCAGCAGGCAAAGCAGAGAAGGGGCCTGAGAGATGTCTGAGGTATCTTATCTATCTATCTATCTATTTCATTGTTGACACCTGTTCCATATGAATAGTTGTCAATGTAGATACTTATTAAGAAAATTGAGAAATCCCTGCTCCCTCCCCCCCAAAAAAACGAAGCAAAACTATAAGTTAATGTGGCTAGGTTGCATATCCCACCAATGCTCACTGTAAAAAGGAAATAAGCAGTGTAGTTATTCACTTTGTCTACAGTCCACTCACACTGTGACCCGCTACTATAGATGGATGCACCTGCTCAGTGACACAACTTGGGTAAAAATGGAGATAATTTCTTTCTTAAAGGAAAGGGGACAGACCAACTTTTTGGGAACTACTGCTTCTGAAGTTGCATTTCTGCATCTAAGGACAAAATTGGGTTTTCTACATCTAATAATATAAAAGAAAGATATTTCTTTACTGGGAGAAAAATTTATATCGCCATACTACAGAGAAGAATGAACTTCATTGCCTTATGACATCACCAATGATAAAACAGTGCAGCTGATGCAACACCCTCTGACCTTTATCACTGGTGCTATAACAGCCTAGGTTTTTCAGCATGTCTTCTGGTTAACAAAGTTTGGTGATGGAATTTTAAGCCTTGCAATGCCCTGGAATAACAGGTATGACTAGTGCTCATTTTACAGATTGTCTAAATAGGCCCAGAGAGGTGAAATGGCCAGACCAAAGTCATTCAGCTGGTAAGTGGCAGAGCTAGGAATAAAAGCCATGACTCCTGATGCTCAGTCCCCGCTTCAGCTCCCAGGTAACACTTCTTCTGTAAACTATCTGAAATAAGTAAAGATGCACTATCAAATTTATTCCATCATTTTTGTTTTATTTTGATTTCCACTTTGCTAATTTCTTTTTAAAATTATGTCTTTTAAGAAAGTTAACTGTATTATATGTCCATTTGCTTCTATTTATTGCTTAAGAGATTTGGTACTTTATCTGACAGAAAAAAATCTTAGCATAGACCCCAATCCTGCAAACAATTACTCACTGGAACTACTCAAGGTAGTAAAGTTAAGCATGTGTGCAAGAGTTTGCAGAATCAAGGTTCTAATGTGCAGTGTAACTTAATTTTCCGAGATTTTCTCTGAAATATATTAACGGTGACAGACTAAGCAAGGGAGGGGAAGTTCACTCTCATATTCTCATTAATGGAGTTGTTTTGAAAGTATGAAGAGCTTTTCTGATTTTCAACTATTATATTTTTAGAGAACAACAACAAAAAATAGCCTGTTGTGTTTAGTTCTTAAGAGAGGATATTGTGACCAGAAAACATGAGCAATGAAATTTTTCTGTGAATGATGGTGGAGTGAAATCAGAGTTCCAAATGTCCATCTACCTGACTGATAAGAGAAGAAGAACTGTGACCCTTTCACACAAATCATGGATAGATCTACTAAGCAACAGATACTCAACTTAGATCGTCAGGTAGGAAAATGTTCTTCTTTTTTAAAGGTGTTGCTAAGGCAGATGGCTTTAAGAAACAACTGCTTCTGAAGATGTACAATAGAACCCCTATTTTATCAACAAATTGGGGACTGAAGAGTTCATAAAATCAAAATGTTTATAAAACTTAACATCTCAAGATTACAAAAAGTATGGTGCATAAGTTGCAGTGTGGTGCATGCCTTGCTTTCTTCTTGTCCTTCAAACCATGGCAAAGTGATGTCTAATGCACTGAGGGCATGGGAATATGAAGGAATGTTGACTTATTCTTCATTAACATAACTTTTGTTTTGTGGGGTTTTTTTCTGTCTGGAAAAATTGTTCATATAACTGACTGTTCAAATGATTGGTGTTCATAAAATTGAGGTTCTTCTGTATTTGTTGAAGAAAACTTGCTATCTTGAAAAATAAATATTCCCTATTCTCAGTAAGATACCTCTAGGATCAGACACCATTTCTGCACCCTTTGAAAGATTCTTTCAGAGTAGAGACCAAATGTGCAATGACCCTGGGACAAGATGTATACTATCAGTCTCCTCATGATGTTCTGCCCTGTGTCAAGGAACAATCTTCCCAGAAGGCCTCACATAGAGAGTACATTAAACAACATGGAAAATAGGGCTGATTCTTGGGGAATGCAATATTTCAAATCTATCAGTGATGATATGGAAGAATTTGGCCTATGGGATTTGATGTATGGCTTGGGAATTCCTTTCCATAATGATTTAGTGACTAGAGAATATAGATGGAGGGCAGTTCTAGACATGCCAGCAATATCCCATACTGACCAACTCAGTATATGCTGCAATCCCTAAGCAACAGGCCAAATTCTGCCCCGCAACCTGTGCTGCTCACATCCACACCAGTGAGACTCCTGCATGCACATTCAAGGGCATAATTTGACTTTATGGGATACATGAGATGAGAGTCAGCCTTAGATTTGTATTGCATATGATTATAGTTACAATAATTTCCTGCCCTTTCTCATTTTGTATCACTACATCTGCCATAATTTAAACACTGCTAGTGGAATTATATTCTGTTGATATATCTTCTTGAAGTGTCTTCTGCATAAGCAAGTTTTTTTTAAATCGGTCCTTCAACTGGCCCAGAGCACTATGATCTGATCGACCAACTAGTCAACTGATTTTCATAATAGCCATGGGAACCTAGAACCCCAAAAATGAATAGGATTAATATACTGATATTGAAAAGAATAATGTGGGGAAAGTTTAGAGAAAAATGGAAGATTACAGCATCACTGCTCCTGCTTTCATTGTAATATCTGTCAATCCAGAGTCTCTCAGTGGCACTGTAATAAATGTTTAACTTCATCCCAGTGTGTCACTTAATTCTCTCAATATGGATTAAAGAGTTCCCCCATTGTATAATAATCATATCATCCAGCCATTTAACAAAAATGAGTTAAATTCACCATTAAATTTATTTCTTTTTGTAGCAAATGTGTGATTTTTATTTACAGTTGTCTGTACAATTGTAAAAACAAATATTTTTTTTCACTCTTTTCCCACAAACATTCTCATGTTGCAGTGGCATGCACAGGCAGAATATGTTAGTTGGTTTTCATTTAAGTCATTTTTGATCTTTAAAGTTGATTTCTAACATTAAAAAAAGCTATACTTGTTATAACTACCTTGTACCCTGTGATCTAAGGCATGACAATTCTTTTTTGTTTTTTCTTCTCTAAGTGAAATGGAGCTTTGAATGAGTCCTCTATGGAGTCCTTCTGAGCTCCCTTTTCATCCTGGTTGATGAAGGTCTAAAATAGAGTTTGACATGAGCACATGGATGCGACAAGTTGGGCAGGTTGGTTTCTTTAGCAGCCACTTTTCAATACACTGTTGGAGGAAAAGAATATGGGAAAGAGAAAGTTAGCAATCGAAACTTGTTGCACTGACGCTCAACTACCAGGATTTTTGAGAGGGATGATTGGTAAATTCCCATACATGACCAAAGCTTTGATCTAACCGTTTTTTTAAAATGCAGCATAAAAACCCATGTATTCAGTGAATCACAGAAAATAAAGCTGGAAGGGACCTCAAGAGTTTATCAAGTCCAGCCCCCTGCAATGACGCAGGACCAACTAAACCTAGACCATCCCTGACAGGTGTTTGTCCAACCTGTTCTTAAAAACCTCCAGTGATGGGGATTCCACAATCTCTTTTGGAAGCCTATTCCAGGGCTTAACTATCCTTATAGTTAGAAAGTTTTTCCTAATATCTAATATCTATCTCTTTTGTGGCAGATTAAGTCCTACCTTTAGTGGACATGGAGAACAATTTATCACTGTCCTCTTTACAACGACCCATAACATATTTGAAGACTGCTGTCAGGATCCCCCCTCTGTTTTCTTTTCTCAAAACTAAACATGCCCAGTTTTTTTAACCTTCCCGCAGAAGTGAGGTTTTTGAAATCTTTTAACATTTTTCTGGTTTTCCTCTGGATTCTCTTCAGTTTATGCACATCTTTCCTAAAGTGTGACAGAGAGACTTGGACACAATACTCCAGCTGAGGCCTCACCAGTGCCTAGTAGAATGAGACAGTTATTTTCCATATCTTACATATGACGCCTGTCAGTACACCCCAGAATGATATTAGCCTCTTTTGCAACTGCATCACATTGTTGACCCATGTTCAATTTGATATCTGCTATAACCCCCAACAGTACTATCACCTATCCAGTTATTCCCCATTTTGTAGTTGTGCGTTTGATTTTTCCTTCCTAAGTGTAGTACTTTACACTTAATTTTGTTGAATTTTGTCTCCTTGATTTCAGACCAATTCTCCAATTTCTCAAGATCATTTTGAATTCTAATCCTGTCCTCCAAAGTGTATGCAACTCCTCCCAACCTGATGTCATTTCGCAAATTTTATAAGCATATTATCCACTCCATTATCCAAGTCATTCACGAAAATATTGAATAGTATTGGACCAAGGACTCACCCCTGTGGGACCCTACTAGATACACCCTCCCTGCTTGACAGTGAACCATCAATAACTACCCTTTGTGTAGGGTCTTACAACCAGTTGTTCACCCACCTTATAGTAATTTAATCTAGACCACATTTCCACAGTTTGCTTATGAGAATTTCAAGTGGGATTCTGTCAAAAGCATTATGAAAATCAAGATATATTTTGGCTACTGCTTCCCCCCATCCACTAGGCCAGTAACCCTATCAAAGAAAGAAATTAGGTTTGTTTGGCATGATTATGTTATCCTCTAGGTATTTACAAATGGTTTGTTTAATATTTTTTTCCAGTATCTTCCCAGGTATCGAAGTTATACTGACTGGTCTGTAATTCCCCAGGTCCCCTTCTCTGGTCCTCCATGATCTCACCCATCCTCCATGAGTTCCTCCATGAATGCAGTTATTGGACTCAATTCTGCTTTCATTTAAATGACTTCAATAAGATCAGGATCAGACCCAATTTTAATTTTTCAGGAGTATAAGATCTCTAGCTCTCTCTCGCTCTTTATTTAGTTAGTTAGTTAGTTAATTTAGTGCTAGATTGACAGTTCTTGAGACTAAGGTCCTATGTTTATCCACAGAAGAGGTATAATATAAGCAGCAGTATCAAGCTTCCCAGCCATTATGCCTAAAACATCACCTTGGGAGATCATTTCTAGGGACATGATACATTTTCTATGGCTAATTTGATCCTTGGTCACTTTGCTGAGAGTGCTAATAAGGGTGCCATTTATGCTACTGGTTGTTGCCATGTGATCAGCTGTCCATTGAAGATTGTACCAAACCCACCAAACTCTTTCACACCAAGCATCCAACATTTATAGCAATGCTTGGCCACTTCTGTCCTGGGAGAGATTTGAACTAGAGCCTAGAAGTTAAACCCTCTTATCCCTATCCCAGTACCAATTCCGCTGAGACCTCCGGATTCCATTCTTTTGCTATAATTATTTTTCAACCAATTGATATCAGGAACAAATACACACTGGATACAGAGGTTCTGATCTGGCCCTGCATTAGGGCAATTTTTGTCCCACTCCTCTAGTACAAAGCTGTCATGGAAGCAGCTTAGCTGGGCACTGAGGAATTCATCCAGTGTAGGAGGAGCATCAAGTAGTGCAGCAGCTTCTACACCCCCACCCGCCATCTCAATCACCAGTAAAAGGGGCTCAGTCAAAGTCTAGTTGCTGTTGTGGAAGGTCATATATGGAATCCTTCCTCTTCCAAGTAACTATTACTGACAGGGAATAGGGCCCCTTGAGTTTCTTGCAGTACCTCTTTGTGAAAGCTGTGCATGCAGTGAAGTTCCACTATACTGCCATTCTCGAGATCATCATGACAAATAACACACGGATCCGAATCTTCATCCTTCAAAGGAACATAAATTACTGTCAGTCATAGGATGACTCCAACCCAGAACTACTTGTGGTTGAGTAACTGGACTGTATTGGATAAGTTAGCAGACCAAAGAGTGGCTTTACATATGATGTTTACTTACCTTACAGCTGAGAGCTGAGTTCTATTGACCTGGGATTGAATTTATCCCATGCATAAAGAAATCTATTAATTTAAATGGCCAGGTCCTCAACTACGGATGAGTAGCACTTGTCACAGCTGGGGAGAGGGACACAAAGATGCCCTTTGCACACCACCCCAATCCTGCGGCTGCCCTTAATTGGGCTGGTTCCCTCCTGCCCATTGTAGAAACCGTTAAGGGCTGCTCTCTGCTATCCCAAGATCTCCATATGAGAGAGCCTCCAGGGAGCAGATCTATCAGGTTTAAGGCCATCATGGCAGCCCTTTTACTGGCATTCTGCGCATCCAGGGAGCCCAGAATATCAGCTGAGATTTGCTGTATAGATCTGTGAGCAGATTTATCTCCTAAGGACCAAATTCTGTGCTTAGGACCCAGCCTGAATAACTTGGCGAGGCATTGGTGAAGTGTATGAGTGAAGGACATCCAGGAATCCTTCCCTGTGGGCTGCAGAGCAGAAGCAGAGCTTCTCTTTGATTCATACCTTCAGCACCGTGAGTAGAATAAACTCAGTTAGCTTAGGATCCCCCATGCTATGTGGGAAGGACTGGAGGGTCTCCATAGCCTTGCTGCTGAGTACAACTGTCATACATCCCTCACCTGTGTCTTTTCTCCAAGTTCTTGTCTACACTGGGAAAATGCATCATGTTAGAAAATATGGGTTTCAGAGTAGCAGCCGTGTTAGTCTGTATTCGCAAAAAGAACAGGAGTACTTTTGGCACCTTATAGACTAACCAATTTATTTGAGCATAAGCTTTCGTGAGCTATTGTTTCATGTTCTCTATGTATATAAATCTCCCCGCTGTATTTTCCACTGAATGCATCTGATGAAGTGAGCTGTAGCTCACGAAAGCTTATGCTCAATTAAATTGGTTAGTCTCTAAGGTGCCACAAGTACTCCTTTTCTTGTTAGAAAATACGTTAACTAACCAAATTTAAACATCATGATGTTGAGCACAATCGTGCCATTAGCATGGACAAGGACAGTCATGTTTGAAAACATATTAGCTGGTTGTAGATAAAGCTATGGTCCACCCTTTACAACTTCTTCCTGGCTATTTGCTGCACGGCGGTGGAGACAAGACACTGCTGAGGGAAGCTGTATTTGCCTACCGCTCAGGAGGGGTCATACTGGGCTTATGATTGGTGACCTGGATTCAGAGAGATCTTCCTTGCAGGAAGAGTGGAGTCTGGCCCATCAGTTCCACAGAGTGGGTACATCCTCCTATAGACTAGCAAAGGAAGGTCTGTGAGAAGGAAAAGAGCCAGATGGACTGTGTTATGCTAGGTCACACTTTTGGTCTGGTTCTTGTTTGCCTAAAGTCACTTTATACCACTCCGGCAGCGTCAGTGTTTAATTTGTGCCAGGGCTTGCCAGGGCTGAGCCTCAGCACCTCTTGGGCAGTTCACAGCCCCGGCACCTCTGGGCTTGTGGCGTCAGTTATGAAAGTAAAAAAATTGCCTTAGCCCCAGCGCCTAATTGCTTGAGCGCTGGCACCTCTTTTGTTACAAATTAAGCACTGGGAAGTGTTAAAAGGCCTTAAAGTGGGTGTAAATAACCAAAGCAGTGTAAAGCAGCCTTACCGTAAATGAAAATCAGATCCTTGGTGATGTGTGCTGCGATGAGTGAGTTTACTCCCTCATTCATTTAAATAGAGGGTAAGCTGGAGCTGCCTCAGAGCTTGTCTACACTTACCGGGGGATTGACACACGGCGATCGATACATTGGTGGTCGATTTAGTGGATCTAGTGAAAAGACCTGCTAAATCGAGCGCAGATTGCTCTCCCATTGACTCCTGTACTCCACCTGAACAAGAAGCGCAAGGGGAGACAACAGGAGAGCAACTCCCTCCACATAGCTTACCCTGTGGTAAGTCGATCTAAGTACGTCGACTTCAGCTACGTTATTCACGTACGTTATTCACCTACGTTATTAGCTGAATTTGTGTAACTTAGATCAATCTCCCCCCGTAGTATACACAAGGCCACAATATTAAAGAAAGGGAACTGATTCTCTGTGAAGGTTCCCTGACTCTTGGAATTCACTTCTCAGCTTAGTCCACCCAACCCTGGATGTGTTATTCTTCTGGACATGCTACAAGACCTCTCTGTTTTCCAGGGCTTTGGTGGATGATGGGATAATTGCATATCCTGTGATTATGACTGGTTTTCTTAGTGGATAATTTTAGACAGTCTATATGAATATATCTAGAGACTGTATGCAATGTGTGGGCATTGAGAGCACCCAGAGCCTGGCATGGGCGTCCATCAGTATCATTTCATACATCTGAGAACAAATGCAAAATGTATTCATTTGTATGTTTGCATATTTAATATTAGCTTTTTCTTTTACTCTGTTTATTTCATATTCTATTTTTATGTATATAGTGGCTCTGAGTTGTTTGGTTTTGATTTTCTGTTACCAATTTCCCCCTTTTTCTTAGAATGTGTTGCTAGTATATAAATAAATGCATCAATGGTTTCATGCTGTCCTTGTCAGCTGTTACATTTAATTATAGACATATGTAGCTGAACTTTGATCCATCCTCAAAATCATGCTTTGATTAAACAATACATCAGAAGCATCAGGGTATTTTTACTCTGCTGTGATGCTGAACATTCACAAACCTAAAAGCGTGGGTAGTGACACTGTAAACTGGTTTGATAGTCTTCTTGTTACGGATGGAAAATCACCTTTGATAGTTCTCTTGATAATCATCTTGTTACGGATGGATCCTGCTATTGAGATGCCTATTACAGAAGAATTTATCTGTGTACCCCTGGATTCACTTCCCAGTGGAGAGTATACAAGTCAGTCTCAGGTGTCAGGAAACACAGCAGAGGAAATTATTTTAATAGACATAACCTATCCCCAGTGAGCCAGGGGAGGTGTAGTGTACTGGCTTTAAAATGTGCATAGACAAATGTGTGAGGTCACCCTTCAGTCACTGCCCCACAGAGAAGCTAAAACACCTACTCCTGCAGCTAGCTAGTTCTTCATTAGCTCCAGTGATAGAGGCCTTTGCTTTAAAATTAGCTCAGTTCATCGATGTCAGTTGGTTATGAGTATTTTGAGGGAACACGACTTGTTTTTTTCCAGATCAGCTTCCCACATCTACTTCAATTTGCAATTCATAATTAAGCTTTGGGTAAGACCCCGGCCTACAGGCCTTTAACCTTTTTTTCTGATTGTTTATTTAGTCAAAGACAAATGGCAAGACATTGGTTTGGAAGAAGAAGCTGTTTTGAATAATTTTAATCAGCCACTGGTCTCATGCTCCTGGAGGGAAGTATCTTGCAGGTGCCAAATAGAGCTGGCCCTGTCACATTAACATGGTTGGGAAACAGGGGGGCCTGCAACCCAGAGAGCCAGTCTAAGAGCAGCTGAACTGCAGGTTTCTACCCCTGAGAGAGGTAAAACCTGCCACCTGAGGGGTACACTCAACAGGGACTGCAAAGGGGTCCAAATCATAGCTCACCCAGTAGCTGTGACAGCGTCTATCCTAAATTCTTGTGTAATATAATTTTTAAATTTTAGTTAAAGAAAATTGCATCAGCATGGCAGTTTTGTATGACAGAAGGACTGTGTGAAATTCCAGTTTGAACCTGAAAGGAACCCACTAATGACAACTATAAATGAGCACATCTTTAGTTCTTTCATTTGTGTTTATTAATTTTATAACATTTGATACAAAGGAAAAACATTTAACAGACACTAACTACAGGTCAATAACCTTTTTTATACTCCCAAACAAAAAGGGAATTAAGATGGAGCTAAGTTTTTGAAAAGCTTTACAGACAACCTAAACTTTTAAAGTTTGGAAATTCAAAATTAAGGCTCTACTTTGCTTTAAAGTGACAAGATTTTTGCTAATCATGGAAAAATCACAGTTAGGACAACCAACATTTTTTTTACTCTTCCCTGTAGTGTCATTATCTTTCATCTTCCCTAATAGTATTACCCAGTCCCTGTTTTCTATAGGCAAGACCTAGGGAAGCCCTTCCCATAATGGGGAGCGTTACATAAGAACATAAGAATGGCCATACTGGGTCAGACCAAAGGTCCATCTAACCTTGTATCCTGTCTTGTGACAGTGGTCAATGCCAGGTGCCCCAGAGGGAATGAACAGAACAGGTAATCATCAAGTGATCCAACCCGTTGCCCATTCCCAGCTTCTGGCAAACAGAGAATAGGGACACCATCCCTGACCATCCTGGCTAATAGCCATTGATGGACCTATCCTCCATGAACTTATCTAGTTCTTTTTTTTTTCCTCTGCTGAGGGAAGTCCCATCACCTGGGCAGATTTTTCCTGCGCCCAGAAGGAAATCTTGTCCATATTTGGTGGGACTTTCCCCTGTGTACACCTTGGGAGATGGGGCTTCTCTAGGCCCTGCTTACAAAAGGCAGACCAGAAGCCCAGCTCCCTTCATTTGGCAAAGACACTAATCGTGGAAGGGGAACAAGTGGTAAGGGTAAAGTGCTGCTACCCTTCTGCTGAACATTCCTGCTTTGTTGGACTGTGGGAGCAGTGTTCTCTCTTGGCAACCTCCCTGAAGAACACAGACTGGTGAGGGATAGTTGGGAAGGCCATCTGTCTGGTTTTATTGGGGAATTCTTTGGATTACAGGGGTATAAGAGAGGTAAAGTCAGAAATGAGACAACAAGGGTTCACAGGAAGTGTGGAGTGGGTAAGTGAGATAGACAGGCGGGGGGGACCAGCACAAGAGAGATTGAGGTAGATAGGGGGTGAGGCATGGGAGGTAGAAGTGGGAGGGCACATTAGTTCACGGGTGCGGAAATTGACATTGGGGGAATGGTGGGGAGAGATGA